CTGGCCATGACACGTAGGATGAGCCCACAACCCATGTGCGGGAGGGCAGGACCAATTACACCCCATTGTTCATGTCCAGGCTTGAGCTTACCCCAGCCCTCCCTCCTGAACAGGCTCTCCTACCTAGATGAGCAGGCAGGGACTCCCCCACGCCCCATCCTTTTGCCACCTCACAGACCCCAGAGATATGTGGATGGGCACCATGCGCCACGCCGCCGTCTGCTGCCCCCGACGCCTGCAGGTAAGAGTGGGCATGGGTCCTAGGGCCCCCCCCCGAAGGGCCATCCGGGCAAAGGGCTGTGGAAGCACTGACATTCCTCTTTGCCCCCGGTGCCCCCTACACTCCCAGGTCGGAAACCTTCCTTCACCATCCAGTGTTTGCGGCGCCAGGGCAGTTGTGAAGATTTACCCATCCCAGGCACCTATCATCGTGGGCGCAACTCAGGGTCCAGCAGGGCACAGGTGAGGTGGGGGAGGGGAGGCTGAAGCCCGGAAGGGTGGGGGCACCCTAGAATGAATTTATCAACTACACCACATGTCCAGCCCTTCTGAAGAAGGGGGCACATGTGAATTCACACTATCCTCACTCTGCCTGTGAGGTGGGTACTGTTAGAGCCAGTTTACAGATGAGGAAACTGAGGTCTAGAGAGGCTTACCCAAGATCACACAGCTAGTAAATGGCAAATCTGAGATATAAACCCAGGCCTTCTATGCTCTTAAATAAACTCAATCCTGATTTATACCCATTCAATTTGATTCCAGTTGTTTTGGGGGGGTAAGAAGTAGGCACAGGACTAAATCCTAGATCCTCATACCCCACCCATCAATCACTATGCCCCTGATGTTTCTTCTGGTCCAGGGTTCCTGGGCAACCCCTCCTCAGCGGGGTCGGCTCCTATATGCACCACTGTTATTGGTAGAAGAGGGCGCAGCAGGGGAGGGATACCTCGGCAAATCCAGCGGCCCACTGCGTACCTTCACCTGTCTGCCCGTGCCTGGAACCCACTCGGACCCCAGCCATAGCAAGAGGGGCAGTGCTGACAGCCTGGTGGAGGCTGTGAGTCCAGAAGGGGAGGGGGCAAGAGGGATGGGAAAGAAGGGGAGGCGGCAGGAGCTTGGGAAGGAGGGGAAAAGGGGTCCCCAGTCTCTATGTTGTACGTGTAGCTATCCCTTTGCTCTGCGACTTCTACTTGGCTTGATGTGTGCACCACTACCCCTCAGTGACTTCCCTGTATGCCCTTATGGGCTTATCATTCATCCAGACTGACGCCTCTGTGCACAGTTTCGATTTCATGCTAGGCTCTTTGTCAACACAGATTCCATTTGTGCCCCCAGGTGCTCATCTCTGAGGGCCTGGGCCTCTTTGCTCGAGACCCACGCTTCGTGGCCCTGGCCAAGCAGGAGATTGCCGATGCATGTCGCCTGACACTGGACGAGATGGACAGTGCTGCCAGTGACCTGCTGGCACAGGGGACCAGCTCACTGTATAGTGACGAAGAGTCCATCCTCTCCCGCTTTGATGAGGAGGACCTGGGAGACGAAATGGCCTGCGTCCATGCCCTCTGAATACCCACCCCTCCCCCACTGCTCAATAAACCTCCTGCCCTCCCTTCTGCAGAAGGAGACAGGCATGGACCACACCCCTGGATTTTGGTATCTTTGCACTGGAGGCCTGGGGCTGCCCAGTGGCCACCATCCATCCATCCCATTTCAGCCCTGAGCCACTGCCCACACGCGAGTATTTACAGAAACCAGGACAACCAGGCCTGATTATTCAGCGTCAGGGAAGGAGGGAGGAGGAGGAGGAAGAGACAGCAGCCAAAAAAAGCTGGAGACAGAGTGGAGGTGGTGGGGGGAGGGAGGGTACTGGACAGAGATGGGGAAAGTGGAGAGAGAGGATGTGTGGAGGCTTGGCTGAGGGGTGAGGGGAAGTCAGAGATTCCACAAAGGGTCAGTCAGGTCAGATGGAGGCAGGAGCAGGACAGATGGATGGGAAGGAAAGGATAAGGAAACCTTCAGGAGAGTCCTGCCAGCAGAAAGGCCTGGAGGTTAGAATGAGCCTAGTATGGGATACGTCTTCAACAGGGGGGTCCTCTGACAGCTTCAGGAATTTTAGGGAGGCTAAATTGGAATTGTCCTGTCTCCCACCTCCCCGCTTCTTCCTGAGAAAAAGAAAATCTATACTCACTGTTAGAAGACATGGGTGACAGCAAAAGGTGAGGCTCCCCACCTGGGGTAACCCACTCAAAGCCCACCTGGCTCTCCTGAGACCAACTAAGAGTCCCCCCTCCCAGATCCCAGCTTCTCTTTCTGCTTCTTGTCCTACCTTTAGTCATCACCCAACCTTTGGGGTCTCACTCATTCTGTGAAGGTTTATTGGGCATCTATTCTGTGCCAGGTACCGTTCTGGGTTTCCCCCAGCACAAACTGAGCTGGCTTGTCCAAAGTGGTAGTCATCCCCACTCCAAAGGAATTGGAAGCAGTGTTGGAAGTGGCACAGGATGGGGCCACCCCTGGGAGGGGTATCTGAACTAGGGGCTCCACCCAGCTCTCAGAGCAGGGGTTCCTCATTTGTATACTTTGTGTCAATTAAGCCAGGACTGAAATTTGGGGGAAACCAGAATTGGAGACGAGGACTCAGAATATAAGAGTTGCACTAGGTCTTGAAACAAAGGCTTGGAGTGGTTGGGCTGGTGTGTTGCGGGAAAGAAAGTCATGGGCAGGGTAAAGAGAGTGGAGGGAGATCGTTGTGGGATGATGTGGGACAGGCCACCAGTGGCCAGATGATGCAGACCCTTGAATGCCAGGTCCCAAGCCCTAGGATTTTTCCTGAAAGCAGTGGGGAGCCATGGGAGGGATATGAGCAGGGTAGTGACATAGTTAACTTTGCATTTTAAATAGATGCTCTGACGGCTGAGCTGAAAACAGAAGGGAGGGGGAAGAGACTGGAGATGCTAAAATTGGCAGAATGATGGTTACCTTAGCCAGGGGAGGTGGCAGAGGAGATGACAAGAAGTGAGTAGATTCCAGAAATGTGTAGAAGGTAAAATGAACCATTTACTGGGCCCTGTGCTAAGTGTATTACAGTGATTATCTTGTTTAATCAGTGCAACAATCCTATGAACATCATTTTAAATTATCTTGCCTATCCAAAGTCATACAGGAACAAGTATTAGAGGTGAGATTCAAATTCAGGCAACTGAATGCCAAAACCCATGCTCTTCCCCCAATAAGGCAATAACTGGGAAGTATCCATTGCATATTTGTGTGAATTTGAGTGTGTTCTTTTAAAAAATAGCTATACATTCAGATGGTTAAAAATTCAAAGGTACAAAGGAATATAAACTCGGGAGGCAACTGGTGTTATCAGATATCTTAGCCAGGTATGGGATGCTGTGCTGATAAGTTAGCACAGTGGCTACGAGTAACAGGTGCTGGAGCCATACTTCCTGGGTTAAAGTCCTAGTCCTATCATTTACCAGCTGTATGACCTTAGGAAAAATCTTTCGCCTCTTGGCACCTTAGTTTACTCAGCTGTAAAATGAGGCTAGTAGTAGTACCTAACTCGTCCGGTTGCTGTGAGGATTTAAATGAATGACATATGTGAAGCTCACAGAACAGCCACAATTTAAAATGTTAATTTAAAATGTTAACATTTTAAAATGTCTCCCTATAATTATGATATGACCCTTCCCTTCTCTTTGTACACAATTCCCACATAGTTTGACCTCTACATTTCTTAACTAAGTATCTTGGCAATCATTACATAGCTCCATATTAGTGACAGCTGCACAGTACTCCACTTTGCGGCTCTTGAGTTTTTTTAAACAGGCCAGCAGTAATGAGCACTTAGGGAGTGTCCACTCCTATTATAAACAGCGATACAGTGTATCATCTTATACATACATCTTTTAGCACATGTATGACTCCATCCATAAGATAAACTCCTAGAAGTGCAAACCCTGAGCCAAATATATGGATTTGTTAGTTTGCTAGATTTTGCCAAATTCTCCTTTACAGAAGTTACACCAATTTAACTTCCACTGGCAATTTATGAGAATGCCTATTTCTGACCAACCTGCTAATATTGAGCATTATCAAACTTTTTTTTATATGCACCACCCTCAAGATGAAACAGTGTCTCCGTAGCTCTTATAGGCATTTCTTTTAGTATGAATGAAGTTAAGCATCTTAAATTCCAACTTGTATTTATCCATTGGATTTTTGCAACATGGCAATTGCCGTTGACCTTGGCAGGCCTAGTTTTAGTAGCATGAACGAGGAATGGTCCAATTAAGAGAGGACTGGGGAATAAACAAGACGTAACGAGTAGAGTTGGAGTAGGAAAGACTTAAGACTATGGAAGAGCGAAATAGGGAGACGGTTGGAGGGGGAGGGAGAGGTTTTCTTAATGTGTTCAAAATGCAAACGAGAAGAAACCCTCAAGACCCTGAACTATGCTTACAGTGCAGGGACTTTGGGCACTGCCAGTAAGTAGCTGGGCGACCTTGTACAAGTCGCTTAACCTCTCCCGGGACTAATTTTCCTCACCTGTAAAAATGGGACCAAGAGTCCCTACCACATAGGGCTGTTCTAAAGAATAAATAAATGAACATATTCGACAAATTCAGCAAAGGGCCTGGCAAACTCATACTGTAGGACCGAACAGTCCACCTCTCCCCAGATCTCTAGTTGTATTTTCGGAGATAACGATCTTCCTAGAGCCGTTCTCACGGATCCAGCCTAGGGGCTGGAATGGCGGCCGGGGAGATTTAGGCACGGCCCGCTGTGCGCAGGCGCGCGGGGCGAGAGAGGTGGGGCGCGAGGGGCGGAGCTGCAGCCTCCTGGGCTGTTCCGACGATCGCGCG